GAGGATAAACCTAGCAATGCTGGCAAAGTTATTGTTTCGCCTGCCGGGAACTTTGTTCCTGCAGGATTGGATTAGAAGAATATTTTGCAAGCTGATTAATGGCGTCAATTTTATCTAATTATATGCTACAACAGAATAAATGAAGTTTAGTCAATGCGGTGATTTGATTGCTGCACCAAATTCCTGCTACATCTTGCTACATGTCACCAAAATACGACGAATTAGCGGCAACATTGCGCCGAAATGCAATTTCACTTTATTATTACTAAAAATATAATATCTCGGACCCTGCTACACGACCAAATCATTACGGGTGGCTTGGGTGAATTTTTAGAGCCTTCCATTATCACCTCAAATAACACATTGCTCGATTTTATCTGCATCAGACACAAACATTACTCGGAAGTCTCGCAATATTTCTCATGTCCGTGGTCTATTCTGGCGGGTTAGTTGACTACGTTGAGTGCGCTTCTCGCCGTGCTTTGGTGCACTGCAGTGAGGTGAGAGCCGCTCAGTAGGCATCGCGATTGTGGGTATCTTCCTTCGCCGCAGCACAACCGCGTGCTAAGGGGAAAGCACTCCTCCAGAGCGGGATGTTGCACACAAATACATTGAATGTAAAAAAACAACAAAAAAAAGATGTTATATCGAGTTTTAATGTAGCAATTCTACTTTTCAGTAAAAAGTTATGAATAAAACAGCGGCTAGTATATATAATAAACGGCCGTATTCTGCCGATTTCTTTTTCAAATTCTAGATTAGTGTACTTGGGTTGCAAAAAGCAGAAGTATGCAGGCAAGTTGGTTAGGAAACGTTACAACCTAGACCCTCAGATGCGGGGAAATAAAATGACGCCTTCTTTTCCGTTGCTTTATTTCTCCAAGTCTCGGGGTTTAAACTATGATACTTGGGTAGGTGAGGAGATTTATATGAACTCTTCTGTAGATTCATTTTTTATGTCCACTTTCTTGTTTAGTTATCACCTTTATATCGGTTTTATCGGTGCTATGTCGCAGTTAATAGAGAAGATTAAAACTAAATTATCTGGGGCATTGGGGGGAAACTTTTAAGTAAGTGCAATGAGTTTGGCTGGATTTCCAGGAGGCATATTTTTCATTCACATTCCAATTTTTGTTATATCAAATGTAATTGATGTTCAAAGTCAAATGACAAACGCTTTCTTTTTATCTTAAAGGGCAACTCCACTTCATTTTTGATATTTAGAAAACTATACAGCCCTTTTCAGTATCATATAGGAAGACCCCCATGTCAAATATTACAAACTAATTCCGTCTATACAGGGTGTTTTTCTTTAGCTGCACCAAATTTTCAAAAAAAAAAAAGAAAAGGAACGTGAGATAGAGTAATTTGAGCCCTGGGGAAGTGTTAGTGGCCATGGCGGCCTCTAGAAAAAAGGTGAAATTAGGTAATTAGTTAGCAAATTAACTAAAACATTTTAATTAACTTTTTAATTTTTCACTTGGGGGCACATGATGTATTTAGAGGATTGAAGATCGGCCACAGTATGGTCTAGCCATGTCGTCAAATATGGATAAAAAAATTCCTAGTAGGCGCTACGGGGTCGAGAAATGTCATTTGGTAAATGGCGTTAAGCTGAAACTAAACAGGAAAGAGTGCCGGTAAAGTTATTGCTCCGCCCTTCCGGGCATGCGATTCGTCATTATCGCTGCCGGCTCGCCTAAGCAAGTGGAATTGGCCGCGATAATGATGAATCGCATGCCCGGAAGGGCGGAGCGATAACTCTACTGGCGCTCTTTCCTGTTTAGTTTCGGTTTGATGCCATATACCAAAGGAACATTTCTCAACCTTGTAGCGCCTACTAGGAATTTTTTTATCCAAATTGGACGACATGGCTAGATCATACTGTGGGTGATCTTCCATCCTGTAAATGCATTAGGTGCCCCCAAGTGAAAAATTGAAAAGTTAGTTAAAACATTTTAGGTGATTAGCAAACTAATTACCTAATTTCACCTTTTTCTAGAGGCCTCCATAGCCACTAGCACTTCCCCAGGGCTCAAATTACTCTATCTCACGTTCCCTTTTTTTGAGAATTTGGTGCAGCTAAAAAAAAACCCACAAAAACACGGAGGAGGAGGAGGAGGAGGAGGAGGAGGAGGAGGAGGAGGAGGAGGAGGAGGAGGAGGAGGAGGAGGAGGAGGAGGAGGAGGAGGAGGAGGAGGAGGAGGAGGAGGAGGAGGAGGAGGAGGAGGAGGAGGAGGAGGAGGAGGAGGAGGAAGGGAGGGAGGGAGGGAGGGAGGGAGGGAGGGAGGGAGGGATGTCACCGTTGGAGCGCCGTGCGAAAAAGGAAGACGTGGCGCGCTGCTTGTAGGAATGCGAAAGCATTTCTACACAGAAGCAATTTTAAGTGGCTCTGCCGGATTTTTTTTTTGTGTAATTGGGAGGGTGCTTTAGAGTTTGTTTTGTTAGAGATTCACAATTCTCGGAAATTAAAAGTTTAAGACATACACTAAATTCATTAGAAAATCCCCGGTACAGAATTTCTGCAGCTGCTCTTGGCATTGGCACCCTTGCGATCGGCAGTACCAATTGTCCTGCAACAAATCTTGAAAGCAATGTTACTCGAATGAATGTCGGTACTTTGGAATAGCCAAACTCTTGGTGCATAAAACCTTCAGCTGTCCTTCCCATCTCATGATATGTACAGGTTCACATTTTTCACTTTTATGCTAGCACAACACCTCCTTCCTCTAAAAACATGATTGGTATGGCTGAAACTGGAAACCGAAACAGTGACTTTTGTTGTGGTCCAGAAATGCATTGTTTGGCCCTTTGTACTGAAGGAACCTTGACGAGATAAATAGGAAACTCCCTCTTGTCAATGATTCAAGATAAAAAACAAAAATTGATTTGGCTTTTTTTAGGACCACTAACAGGTGCTATGACAAACTTTTTTCATCAAATATTATCTTTTTTGCTTTTTATTTTGCATTGTGACCTCAAAATTGAGTTATTTTTTGACGATGAATTCAAACTGTCTAAAATTTTACCAGCGAGTGCTTTTCCCAGTTTATCGGATTTATCCGAAAACACGGAACCCTGATTATAAAGTGGAGTAAAGAGGAGCACGGATTTTTGCCGATGCAAGGTCGTACTGCACATAGACGTGGAATTTATTTTCGTTTCATTATTATTGAATTGTCTCCTCGTTGCCACCATTTTGTTTTTACGAAACGCCGCACCGCCCACACCGCTGCTGCGAGTGTGATAATGGACCTCGCGTCGCCACCCGTGCAGCTCACACATTATTATTCCAAACCGTTTTTCAATGAATCGGTAACCGCCAAATTAGATTATAGTTTTTTTCTGCTTCAGGTTCAATAACTAATGTTCGCTTTAGGTTTTGATTTTGTTCTGGTTTAGTCAAAAATAACAGTTCTGATCTGTTTTCTTTTTTTCTTGGGTCCGGGTCGACACTTTGATTCTGTGTAACCTACTTTAGCTGTATGATTAAGATGCATCAATCGTACTATAAGTGTTTAAGGCTGTTATGTTGCTTCCTTTCATCTTTACTTCATAATGGCTTTCATTACATATAATGACTGTCGCATTGTTCCGAGTAGACTTCCAATCCATCTGGTGGAAAGCGGAGTTTTGTGAGGTGGGACAGATCTCACCCGGATCATTTATCATACTGCAATGTGCATTCATTATATCTGGTTCTCACACAGTGGAATTGGAGGTGTTTGCTAGACACTTGTGGACACTTTTTGGAAGGCCTTATGCTTGTGTATTATGCCTTTGTCAGCTTGATCCAGAAAGCTACAGTTGTGTTTCATGGGCCCCCCAATGATGCAGACACCCCACAATGTAAATTTCGGACTGGGGGCATACATGCATTTTTGTCTTGTTATGGATGACTGACATTATCGACGAATTTCGGGAGGGACCCATTCGCTTCCATAGCCACAGTCACTGTGACAGAGGCCAAAGTGCACAAAGCCAACGATTTTCCTGCCTTTGTTAAAACCTTTGTCTTGGAACACTGCTGATGGATGACAAATCTTGTACACAACTTATTTTTTGTTTAGACTACCAGATGGCACTAACTTTTAAGCAAATTTAACTGTGAAACCGGAGAGTTGCGAGCTGCAAGTTGGCCGCCCCTGCTATAAATGTTCTGTGAAATTTATCATACTTCCTGGAAAGTCTTATGAAATAGGAGCAGATCTACGAGGCTCTATTGTATTTGTTGTTCCCCAGGAGGAGAGTTCTTGTTACCGAACTTGGTTATTGTAATGGGTTTGTGAAAACCTACGCACAATCTATGCAGAGTGAAAGTTTGTCTGCTTCTTGCACAGGGATTGCAATGATGTCAGAATGCCAAGCTCTTATTGGCCGATTGAAAGAGAAATTGCGGGTGGACCTCAAAACAACTAGCAGTGAGGTCTACCCACTATCCTTTCAATCAAAGCCAATCAGAATGTGGCGTCATTGTAACGTTGCTGCAACCCTTGTGCAAGAAGCAGATGACTTGCTCTCTGCATAGGGTCTAGAAAGCAAATTAATGCAACAAAAAGACAGGACAGCATTAATTGAGTCTACCAGGTGTGAGCAAATGAGTTAACTTTATAAGTGTCCCTCGCCGCTCCCCTCCTTGAATGACAAAACGCATTGGTTTAACACGTAGAGGTCATTTAATGACGTTCCTCATTGCCCGCAACTCGCACGACCAGGCACACTTGTTCGCCTCACGGTGGAGATATTCAGAGATGGTTTAACATGCGAGCAACCTGGTTGGACGCTTTGTACCACCATAACTCAGAAATGTAATTCTGATGACGTCACCCTTTACTTTCACACACTCGATTTCTTGCACGGTAAAAGCGTGCTGGGAACGAAATAGATTAGCAAACAGCATTTGCGAATTATTCAAAGACTGGAATATTTGCGCAGCGCTACCGTACGCATTTCTCTTACGGTTGCCTCAACTAAGTGTGAGAACGCCGTTCTCCTTGCAGGTTCTTCCTGACAAGCTTCTACACCAAATACGACTCGGTGCACTTTGCGGTGAACTTCTGCTCACTCATGTTCGTCCTCATCCCCAAGCTGCCGCAGTTCCACAAGGTCCGGCTCTTCGGGATCAACAAGTATTGAGCGACCGACGCACCGAGAGCGCCGGGGACGTGGCAACTGCTCGGCAGTCCCCAGCCTCTACTCAGGTCCCATTGCCCCCCGTGCGTCTGGCCGCTGAAGCGCCGTGCACTAATTGGCTTGGGCAGCAGTCAACGATCGCAGAGCGGCGGTGTTTGGAACTCAGTCTTCCCGTCGTTGGAAGCATTTTTTTTTCGACTGTGCCCAATACTTTTTGGAGTTGTGTCGTCTCACAATAATCTGAGTCTTGGCAGTCGTTGGAGTGAAATCTTGTTTGTTGTTATTACTATGGCTTATAGAGGTATTAGCAGTCGGTTTTTGTCTGCACAAGGCCCAGAGTTCTTCCTAGTGTTTTAGCTTCTGAGATGAAGTGCAAGTCAACCGCATGTATTTGTTGTGGTAGGATGTGGGCTTGGCTGTATTATGGCTTGAAAGGTTTGTGATAAGAAAGTGCCTTCCTATGATTTAATAAATGGGATCATTCTGTATGCATGTAGTTGTGTGGAAGCAGTTTTACTTTTGTAGGCTGTGGAGTATTGGTTAAGCGCTCAACTCTCCTACTGTGAGTGGAGGAACTGCTGCATTTATTTTGGCTACAGTTAAATGTAAATTGTATTTCTCAAAATGAAGACATGTTGCTACAGACATATCACCCCGATTGCCAAGAGCAAAAAAGCCATTGCCTGACAACCCATCCTATTTCTCGCTCTGCCCCCTGGGGCTTAACTGCAAAAAAGGCACCGGCGTAAAACACCTCCCTGCTTAACTCTCGTCTCATCTCAATCTATGGGCTCTAAGCATCCTAAAATGACTACATGGGCTGACGAGAATGGTTTTAGGTTCTCTCCGGAGAAAACTGTTTGTGTTCCTTTTTCTTTAAGGCATGGCCTCTGTTTAGATCCTACACTTTTTTTAAATGGAAACAACATTGCTGTCAAAACGGAGCACTAGTTTCTAGGAGTTACTTTCAACCGTACACTTACCTTTATTTCGCATCTCAAACAGCTCAAGCAAAAACTCTGCAGGCATCGAACATACTCAAAGTTCTTTCGCACAAGTCGTGAGGCTCGGATAAGAAATGTCTCCTTCGTCTATATTCTTCTTTCATTAGATCCCGCCTTGATTATGGCTCACTTGTCTACGCCTCTGCGAGACCGTCTGCTTTAAAAATGCTCGATCCAGTACATCACCTTGGGCTGCGTTTGGCATCTGGTGCTTTTCACGCCTCCCCTGTGCTTAGCTTGTATGTTGACTGTCATGAAATGTCGCTTGAAAAAAAGGTGACAGCTGCTTAGCCTCACCTATGTTTACAAAAGTTCTAGAGTTGTGCGAATATTCGAAATTTCGAATATTAGTTCCGAAGAATACACTATTTGATATTCGCTTCGAAAAGAACTGCACCATTCGCGTTTTTCGAAGTGTTGATTATGGCGGGTTAGCCCCGTTGAGTGCGCTTCTTACCAAGCACCGGTGCGCGGCGGAGAAGCAAAACCCGCGGAAGTGAGCTCCGCGGGGGTTGCTTCTCCGCATTACATCGGTGCTCGCTAAGAAGCGCACTTAACGGGGTAACCCGCCGCGATAAACAATATTGTTATTGCGTGCTCAAGAAAAACATACATTCAAAGCGGGATGGTGCACCCGTGCAGACTGTATTTGAAAATAAATGGAAACTTTGTGAATGTGCGTATCTACATTGTAGTAAAAGTTTTAAAATTAAACTTTTATGGAAGAGTATACTATGTTAGGCAGAGATGCTTTTACAACCTGTGTTCATCGTGCGCAACTCATTGTTTTTTAACTTGAGTTTAAAAAAAGAATATTTTATATATCAAGATTTGTAAATTCACTCAATTGGGTATAGTTGGCCATCTCTATAGGATTCATTTTATGTCATATCCGTCGTTTGCTTGCCATCCCAAGACACCAGACCTTCTGAGATCACAGTTGATAAATATAGATAGATTAAGCTTAGCTTATGAATTAAAAAGTGGAATAACCTTTACAGGTTTAGCTGGGTTTTCGTCTAAGCATTATGCAATGGTAGTAAAAGGCGTGGAAAAGCTATTCGATATTCGAATCGAAAATATTCGGCCAAAACCATTATTCGCTTCGAATTCGCTTTGGACTCAAAATCCACTATTCGCACAAGACTAATTAAATTTTGTTGGACCCCAGCTCCCCCACTTATAGTTGTATTCAAAACTCTAGGTTTTCTCGCCTCTTTAACTATAAGCCAACTGTTGTGCGGCCTTTGAGTCTTCGTGTCCAGAGTCTTCGCTCCTCCCTCAATCTGACTCATGATTTTAACCTCTTGAATAGTTCATACCGCACTGCCCCATGGAATGTCAAACCCATTTTTTGTGACTGGTGCTTTACAAAATTCAGGAAGCAAAGAGTCTCACCTTTAATTTTACAGCAGGAATTCTTTGCACTGGAGGAAAAATACAAAGATTATAATCATTTTTACACTGATGGCGCAAAGTCGTCAATGTTTGTTGGTGCGGCTGTGTACTCTTCTCGTTTTTGCAAAGTCGCTTCGTCTAAACACACTTGCCAGTATTTTTACTGCCGAGCTATACGGGGTCATGATGGCGCTTGACTATATAGTTCACAGTAAAACAAAGAAAGCCATCATCTTTGTAGATTCCCAGAGTGTTGTTAGGGCTGTGTGTTCTGTTTTATCCACAAAGAATCGGCTGACTCTAACTGTGCGTGTTAAGGTGCAGCAGGGCCTACAGGATGGGCACGATATTAGATTTTGCTGGATTCCTAGCTATGTGGGCATTGCTGGCAACGAAGCTGCAGTTAAACTGGCCGTCTCTTCGCAAAATCTTCTGGTGTCACATGTACGCATCCCCCACCAAGACCTACAAGACTTGAAGTCTTGCGATCGTGGCAGTCTGTGTGGGATGTAGAGGTTAACAGTAAGCTTCACACCATCAAGCCAGACCTTGGTATTTGGGAAACATCTTACGACAAAAATAGATTCCTCGAGGTCCTCCTATGCCGCCTGAGAATTGGCCACACCTACCTTACACATAGCTACCTGCTTACTGGGGAAGAACCTCCATCCCGTGAGCGCTGCGGTGAACCTTTGACTGTTCTTCATATTTTATTTCTTTGTCCTGGTCTTCGGCAGCAGCACAAATTCTTTTTTCCTGATCTTTTCAAGTATCGCATTCCATTTCACCCTGCCTTGCTACTTGGTGAGCGACCACTGATTTCATTCAAACGTCTTTTTGATTTTCTTGGAAATATTGAATTTTTAAACAAATTATAGAACTATTCCTCCATAGTTTAATTCAACTCACCCTTTTTTATTGACCAACCTTGTTTGCCGCAGTATGGCCATTGTAGCTCTTGCGCCATTAAAACCATAAACAACATAAGCATCCTAAGAAAACAACGAAATTACACTCAAAGGCGGCCAATTTCCCTATTAAAAATCCAATCAAAGATCGTGCCAGGCCCCCTTTCTGTGCCGTGGCGCAGAACACCAGGGGGTGCCACCGGACGGGAAGGCAGTAGGGAAGGCCGTGCGTCAGCCAATTACCGGTGACTGCTTTCCGGCAGACTAAATTTTCGAATATGTGCGCCTTCGGAAAATCAGTCCGCCAGGAAGCCGTCACTCGTGATTGGCTGTCGCGTGCCCTCCCCTGTTGCCTTCTTGTACGTTGGTGCCCCTGGTGTTCTGCACCACAGCACAGAAAGAGAAGCGCGGCACGATCTTTGATTGAACTTTTAATAGGGAAATCGGCCACTCTTAAATGTGATTTCTGGTTTTCTAGGATGCTTAGAGCCCGTAGATTGAGTTATGACAATAAATAGACAATTTAAGAATCCACTTGAGTGCCCCTTTAATTACATGGTCAGCCTCGATCACCTGCCCCTCAGTTTGCATCAGCAACTGCATCTCGGAATGAGTCTAAACTTTTCATAAACTTGTGTGTAACGTTTAATTTCGAGCAACTCGTAACACAGCCAACACGAGTGATTGAGTCATCGTCCTCGGTTCTTGATTTAGCTCTCACGTCGCACAGTGAAATAATAATTAAATAAATAAATAAATAAATTGTTCTATTTTTCTCATGCCCACAAACAACCTCTCGGTTTATGGGCACGAGAAAAATAGAACAATTTATTTATTTATTTAATCCTGCAATGAAAGATGTAAAGGCATTAAACGGCCTTAGTGATCACAAATGCATTCACTGCTCCTTGCACATTAAAAACGACACGGCCATGGTGTCCTGCCGCAAAATTTCAGTATATCGAAGAGGTAACATGAATCTCCTTAACATCGTCATCCCTTCTGGACTCACGTATGCCTAACTTTTTGGATCGCTGTGTGCAGGAGAATTGGATTCTTTTCAAAGAGACGCTACTTGCCCTAATTGACTGACATATACAGGGGTGGAAGCGCTGCGCCAATGGCTCCATTGTGCGCCAATCCATTTTCGCTGCACCATCCTGCTCCCAAGCGCACATGTTGCGCCAAAACTAACCAAACAAATTTGTTTTTCCGCGAAATTTATTGGAGTGCTTTTTTTTTATTGGTCACAGTGGGTTACTGTGTTGTGTTCGTTTAGGTAATTCTGAACTAATAGGGACTTTTAGTAAATCGTTACCGCGTACCGCGCACTACCAGAGGCTTTGCAGCATGCTTTTAAGCGCGCGCCCGGGTAATGCCGAGACCGCGGGGCGCGCGCTTAAAAGCATGCTTCAAGGGCTCCGGTAGTACGAGGTAACGATTTGCTAAAAGGTTTCATTGTTATGAAACCACCATACCGATGTGGTCGTGTCAACGGCGTGTAAGTCTGATCTCCGAAAATGGCACATCCACCCCCTTTTTTTTTAATCGCATTTATTGCGTGATTTGCGGTATCGGTACGCGACAAGCGTGCTCGCCGCGGGTTCCCTCGTGCTTATCGCACCGTGACGCGTGAATCTGCAGCATGCGTACTATGCGGGGTATCTTTTCTTATGACATGCAGATTTCAAATTCGTTCCTGCATTTTTTTTTTTTGTCTGTGATTTTTGCGCGCGATATCGGTTCCTGTGACACCCGAGTTTGAGGGTGCCGGGTTCTTGTGTCTATACCGCGCTGTGAAGCGCGCATCGCTGCGTCCGCGTTCTGCTGCCGCATACTCGTGACTGGAGAGTTCATAGCGAATTCCCGCATACTTACTGCACACGCGAGTTCGCCGTGTTTGCGGTATATATCAGCAACGAAAAGACGGTGAGCGCGCAGGCGAGCTCGTGACAGTTAATCATGATGTTTAAAACCCGAGAATGTGGTGAGAGAAAAGTTAGGAAACTTTGAAATTGAAGAGTTCCCCTTTCACATAGCTTGTAGTGCCCCCCCCCCCCCCCCCCCCCGCTCCCAAGCCGACACATACACACACACACACACGCACACGCACGCACGCACGCGCGCGCGCCATTTACCTTTTCGTTTTGGGTGGGCACTCTTTCAGGACCTTATGATAT